GTCAGATTTTCTAAAGGACAGATCATTTCTTATAAATGGAGTATTGACTAAATAATCTATTTAATATGGGCAATTTCTTGAGGACAGGATTTTTCTAAAGCAGGGGTGTCAAACTCAATTTCATTGCCGGCGGCATCAGCATTATGGTTGCCCTCAAAGGGCCTGATGTATCTGTAAGACTATATAAATGTATCTACTCTTTATCATATTAAATATATGCCTTTGCATTCAATTATTACTAGTTTTAGTAGTAACTTAATAACTAGCTCTGAAAGTAGAAGCCTAGGAAAAATAATGGCAATTAGTGTAATAGTGCGGACTCTCAGATGGCTGTGCATGTTGTATGGCAGGCTGTGCGGACTCTTAGGTGGGCTATGCAGGGTCTATGGTGGGCTGTGCAGGTTCTATGGTGGGCTGTGCAGGTTCTATGGTGGGCTGTGCAGGTTCTATGGTGGGCTATGTGCGGTCTATGGTGGGCTATGCGGGGTCTACGGTGGGCTATGTGGGGTCTATGGTAGGCTATGCGGGGTCTATGGTGGGCTGTGCGGACTCTCAGGTGGCTGTGTAGGACCTCAGCAGCCTTCCTGTGCAGCCCAGCGCCTGTTTACAGCACCGGTATTGGCGCTTAGTATTTGGGCATTTTAACAAGTACGAGTACTCATGAAAATGCCCAGTATCGGCACCAAAACCGATACCGGTATCGGTGCATCCTAGAGCTGTGAGGGCCTCATGAAATGGCCTGGCGGGCCAGATTCAGCCCACGGGCCTTGTGTTTGACACATGTGCTCTAAAGAATGGTTACATTACATGTATTGCCAGAATAAGGGCCATTGTTGACAGGGCTTTGGCTGCTTGCTTTTGACATCAGTTTCAGATACTTTCAAAAAAATTCAGAATTTGTAGGTGCATCTCACCTTCTGACCTGCATTTGACATGCTTCAAGTGACTTTTGCATTCCCTTACATTGTATAGGGAGAGAAGCAGAATTTTTTTTACGGTGTATATTACATTATTTATGTGAGTGCTAGACCTGAAATAAATTACATATTGAGCAGTATCTGTTACATATCCTAGTCTATTATTCTTCCAGAGACTCTTGTAACCTGAGGTGAACATGTGCTTGAATGAGAGAAACTCTCATCCAGAGAAAGCTTCAAGAGGTTGCCATAAATGTTCCACAAAATTATCTAAACAGTTGCAGAGGAACAGTGGTTGGAGAGATTGTGATTACAATTAGGCCTATAGTGCCGGGGACCACATTTTGCTTCCTTTGCTACATCCAAATGCTCTTCTCGCTGTCCGAATAAGGCACATAGGGGGCTCTACTGCGCCAATGTGTCCATTCTCCTCAAGGGAAAGAAGAGACAGGTACAGGTTTTCTCTAGTGATGGAGAGTATTCTACATACTCCTGACCTCTGATTGATTGAGACAGCCGTCTATAAATTAGTGGTAGTAGTCTCCTTGCCCCTAGAAAGAGGAATGTACGTGTCGGAACACTTTCAATAGATAAGGGAACAAATCTGTATCAGTCCACAAAAGAGAAAGTATGTGGGTTCAGCAAACCAACAGTAAATAACACTGAGGCTCAAAGGTAAATAACACTGAGGCTCAACTTGTGTTAAAAATTTTAGCACCCAGATAGATTTATAGCGACAGAGGATACAAAGATAAAAAAATGTTTTGGAGAAAAGAAAAAAGGTTTTGAAAAAAGTACAGAATTATCAGTGGCAAACAACTCTACAACTCTGAAATCAAGATTGCTCCAGAACATCAAATAAAACAGGTGCCTATAAGAATCTGTATGAACAAAGCAGTTCTTACCAGTAATAGTCCAAACTGAGTGCTAGTTGTACATGGTATAGCTGGGCAGCTAGGAGAAGAGTGAAAAGTCATGTGGCACAAACCAGCCAATGGGAAAAAGGAGATAACCAAATACATATACACAGCAGTGAAGCTGTAAATCTGAGATTTCATATATACTTGAAAGCAAAGCAGGCAGTAATTCAGATGTGGGGGTCTAAATTTGGGTGGGCCTGTTTATTGTTTAAATTAGGAATGCACCAATACCGTTTTTTTCTGTATCGAGTACGAGTACCGATAGTTATATTACGGTACTCGCCGATACAGAGTACCGATACCGGTACTTCCGCTAGCATGGAGCCGGCTTCCCAGGCAATCAAGAAGCCAGGCTGTGGGTAATGACACGGCGCTCCGGCTTCTTGATTGCCTGGGAAGCTGGTTCCATGCTGTTTTGCTGGCTCGATGTTGATTGGCTGGGAAGCTGGTTTTCCAGCACAGCACAGAGCCGGCTTCCCGGCCAATCACATAGCCGGGCAGCAGGTCATACCTAGTTTAAATCATAGTTTAATCCTAAGCATACATAGGAGGAAATGCATCTGATGATAACGTTCGGGAAAAATAGCAGAATCTGCCAAACAATGCACCCAGACTGTGTATGGCAGATGTTGACCCCGTACCCTGCCCCAACCCCTTCCTATCTGCATTTTGCAGCAGAAATCTGAATTTATCAGACCAGGCTGTTTTTCCATAATACAATAATCAGTCCTCCAGTTATTTTGCGACCAATATGGCCTTAATTTAATTAGGGGGAATGAAACCCAATGTGGTCTTCTGCTGCTGCTGCAGCCCATCTTCATGGTTTAACATGCTGTTTATTCAGAGCTGCCTTTCTCCACACCATTGTAGTAAAGATTGCTTATTTGTGGACTTCCTGCAACCACTAAATGTAGCACCATCAATCATTCCACAGCCAATGGTGCTTTGAACATGTATCTTCTTCAATTTATGGAACCTCTTTACAGAGCCGTAGCTAGCTCCTTTTGCGCCCGAGGCAAGAACAGAAAATGATGCCCCCCCCCAACAGATATGTGCGGTATGTGACGTTATGCGCCCCGCATCCAGGATGGCATCGTGCATGCGCAGAATGCACTGGTAGCCAAACACAAAATAGCATAAAAATTTGTTTCGTTTGACGAAACTAATGAAAAATGTTTTCGTTTTCCGGGGGAAATATCAGGAGTCTAAACAGACCCCTGACATTTCCCTTTTGAAATAGAAAAAGAGATTGTGGACACAGAGTCCTCTGCCCATACAGACGGGCGAGAGCAGCGGAGATCCGAGGAGAAGTTGGAGCCTGTGCCGCTCCTCTTCGCCCTGCCGAGCCGCGGCTGTGTTGGACAACTAAATTGTAGAAATGTCACCAGCACACCAATCCTTTTAAGATAGCAAAAGCTTCATTTATTGAAGTTTTTTGTCATATGACCAAACAAGCGCTTTCGGGACCGCGCAGGGTCCCTTCATCAGGCTTTAGCATTGACAATTGTACAGTGATCACATCTAGGTATAAATAGACAGACAGTTGCATAAAACAACTGTCTGTTGTTGTATTATACATAGATGTGATCACTGTACAATTGACAGACAGACAACTGTCTGTCTATTTATACCTAGATGTGATCACTGTACAATTGTCAATGCTAAAGCCTGATGAAGGGACCCTGCGCGGTCCCGAAAGCGCTTGTTTGGTCATATGACAAAAAACTTCAATAAATTAAGCTTTTGCTATCTTAAAAGGATTGGTGTGCTGGTGACATTTCTACAATTTTGCTGACATTCGCGGCACCATCCGCGGTCACTGCGAGCACCCCCCACTACAAGGGACATATCGGTAAGGAGTGCGACAAGGATAGTACTTATTGTGTTGGACACCTGGTGCCCCTGTTGCCAATGGCGCCCTGTGCTCGCCATGGTAACAGGGGCAAGGGGGCGCAACCAAGCTGGCCCTGGCTGCGCCCCCTCTCAGCTGCGCCTGAGGCGTGTGTCTTACTCGCCCCATGGTAGCTACAGCCCTGCCTCTTTAGCATATATGCATGGTATACCGTACAATTAAGTACAGTATTAAACTCTCCATCTTTTTTTTAATAATGATTTTTTTCAAACAAATCATACAACAGTTTCCATGTGTTTTGGTGCGTTTCAGACCAGAAGAAATAGTGCATGTAGCATTTTTTCCCCCTTCACCAGAACTGACTGCACTGGTGGGAACAGAGCCCAGAAATACCATAGGAATACATTGGCATGCATTTCAGGTGCAGACAAAAAAATGCTCTGGTCCAGAGATGGTGTGAAGAAACCCTTAGGGTTCGATTTACTAAAGGCATATAAGCTGCATGGGAATTTTCCGCTTAGGTTAGTGACCGCTGTGAAGCTCTGCTGACTTCCATCATCCAATCAGGTGTAAGCAAAAATAATTTTTTTTAAATGTTCCTTGCATGTGATTGGGTTTTCTTTGCAAAGTGAATTTTCAACTCATTCACTAAGCTAAGCGAAAAATTCCCTTTCAAAGTAAATGGCCTATTTGCCTTTAGCAAATCAACCCCTTAGTCTTCACATTGGGGCTGTCAGTATAAATATTTGCATACAATCCAACACCATCTTTTACCACCAGAGCCTGTTCTGGTTAAAAAGTTTGCTTCAATGGGACAAAGCAAAAATAAAAAAAATATATACAGTAAATCTGTTTTACCTGCCAAGACTCTTTATTATAACCATCTGTTATTTAATATATGTGCCCCTTTGCACAGTCAGGCAGGTAACCCCCTTATTTTGCAGCTTCCTATGTCCCCAGCTTGGTGATTGGACAATGAATCAGCACCATCACCACTACCCATAATACCATATTCTTTAGATAGCAGTTGAATTCTATGGTGGAATATTCTTCTTGACTGTGTGGCAAAGACTGGCTGAAAAGAATTATAAATCTTTTGGCAGGTGAAACATCAACTGTTTATTTAGTGGTTTGCCTAGAGTCTAATAAGGACGAGAAGATAGCTGTGGATTATAAAATGTCACAATATATTTGGTATAGCTCCAAAAAGATGGTTATCTGGAATCATGCAAGACCTAAGTATTCGGGTAAACTCATACCGATATTTTGTTGATTGTAATGTTTTTCTAAATATGTTTTTAGATGACCGGCTATTGAAAAAGAAAATTCTGCAGCCAGGTTTTGGTGAAAGACCCCTCCCAGGTCAGGAGGTGACTGTTACTATCATGGGGATTTTGGAAGATGGAAGTCTGGTTGAGAAAGATCCCAAGCTATGCTTTGTTCTGGATGACGGAGATGTAATACAGGTAGCAAATAAATGAATGTCTTTATAGGGGAATCACATGGAATGAAATCCACTTTAAAGCTTAACACCAGACAAACTTCTAAATACACAGATGAAATACATGTAAGTGAACTGTTTTGCCTGCCAAAAAAACTGCATAGCTAAGTTTACAACAGCTTCATCTCCCCACCATCAGCCTGTGGATTTGACAGTGAAGGAAAAGCAGAAGATAAACTGAGGTCATCCCTCTTCTCCAGTCAGGTTTTTCCATGTTAGAACACTTACAGCACAGCTGATTGGTTCCTAGTATTGCCCCTTCACTACCAAGTGCTGCTGTAAAAGGGATTGCAAAAGCCCAATATCAAGTTAAATTCAAGTGCTGACACTATTTGCATTTACAATAAAATACATTTAATGATTTATTAATACATGTATTTTCAATATGGATTTTAATATGCAACATTTTTGAGCAGCATACGGCAGCCCGAGGAGCACGCAGGCTGTCAGTGTGCTCCCTGCTGCTGTCCTCCCGCCGCGGGGTCTCATATACTGCCTGCAATGTATATGCCCCGAATACAATACAGGCGGTATACGGGACTCACGGACGGATCACTTCCTTCCTGATGTGTGCACCGTGTGAATGCTCCACCCCCTTCAGACCGTGTGGTTGGCATGATGTCGGGCCCTGGCAGCACTAAATTGCTGCAGAGTATAAAGTAAGTCACGGGAGACTCGGGGGGGGAATGTTTGATGCGCAGGTGCCCAGAAGCTGCACACATTGCTGTCATTTCATTTCATTGAAGAAATGGATTATAATAGGGAACATTACACTGTAATGTTCCCTATTATAATATATTTCTCTATCCCAGTTTTGGATAAAATATTGAGTCCAGTGCGTTGCTAAGTCTTGAGTCCAGTGCGTTGATAAGTCTAGAGTCCAGTGTGTTGCAAAGTCCTAAGTTCAATTCATATAAAAATTCTGCATTGCTCTTTAATGTATTGCTGGGATTTGTATTCCTTCTACAGCCGGTGCAATTCTGCTTTGGAGTGTAAGCTCCTCTGTACAGCACTATGGTATATATCAGAGCTATATAAATGTATAATAATAGTGTGTGACTGTGGGGGGATATTAGAGTGTAAGCTCCTCTGTACAGAGAATGATGTGACTGGCTCAGTGTTCTCTGTACGGCACTGCGGTATTTGTCAGAACTGTATAAATGTATAATAGTCTTTGTTCCTTAGGTCTGCCACTGTATCTATCTATCTATCTATCTATCTATCTATCTATCTATCTATCTATCTATCTATCCATCTCTAAGCTATCCATTTAATCTATCTCTTTGCTATCTGTAGCAATTATAAACATTATTTTATTTGTACTTTTTAATTACATATAAAGATAACATTTTGTATTCATGCTATATGCTATACAGCAGAAGTAAGCAACCCAGGTGAGGTAGTGATCACCAGGGTGCAATTACCTATTTTTTAAAGGAGATACTTTCGTAAGGCCCCATTAAAATGTAAAGAAGTGTTGAAGAAAACGTAGAAAAATATAAGAATACAAATGTCAGTGTAAAGTTATAAACTTGTCATACCTTTTTAGCTTCAGTGAGAAACTTGCCATTCATATTTTTTCATGGTTGGAGAGTAATTTGTCAACCCAAGTCTGATGCAGGGGTTGTGTACTAGGGATTCACCAATACCAATACCGGTACCGATACCGAGTATTTGGGCAAGTACTTATACTCACTCAAATGCTTCGATACTTACCCCTGATACCAGAACTTCCGGTCAGAGGGAGATTTCATGTGACCGGCAGTGCTGCAAGGGAACATGTAGCCGGCTTCCCGGCCAATCAGTATTGAGCCGGTGTCAGGGATACCGGCACGGTTGACCCCACACCTGCGCAGGTACCCACACAGGCAGACCAAACACGTGACCACACAGGACAAGGCAGAATATATGATATACAGTTTTAATATGCCAACCAGAATAATACCAACAGAAACAAGTCTTAGAAACCAACTACCCCTAAACAACACCACATGCAAGAAGAAACAGGCAAGCACACCCAGGGAGCAAAGCAAAACACCGGGGGAACTAAGGGACGAAAGGTCAGGGTACAAGGAGCTAACAGGACTCAGGAACATAAACAGGTCACGGTTCTGGACAACAAGCAGGGAACATACACAGGATACAGGACTCGGGAACAGAAGCAGGTTACAGGACTGGGGACTCAGGCTTAACAGGAAACAGGAAACAATACTGAGCCACAGACCTTACTGCAGGGAGGGCTTAAGTAACCTCCCAGGGAGCACCAGGTGGTGGATTGGTGGCAGCTGGGAGACACCTGCAGGTGAGCACTGGAGTTGCAGTTTCCAGCACCACCCAGTGGAGGTCTGGTACCTAGCAGTTCCTGGCTGCCTGGAGACCCCCCGCAGGTGAGTACGGAAACTGCAGGGCTTAGCTCCAGCGTCACCTGGAGGCGCTCTGGATCCTAACAGTCGGCCAAACAGCATGGGGCCGGTTTCCCGGCCAATCAGCTCGGAGCCAGCCAAACAGCATGGAGCCAGCTTCCCGGCCAATCAGCACCGAGCTGGCCAAACAGCATGGAGTCGGCTTCCCGGCCGAAATCTGTATTCAGTATCTGCGAGTGCCAAAAGATAATATCGGTACTCATACTCAATACAGAAAAAATGGTATCGGTGAATCTGTATTATGTATACAGTGCAGAGCTCAGAAGTGTGCTATGTACAAAGTGCAGAGGTCAGAGTTGTTTAAAGTACATAGTGCAGGGTTCAGGAGTGTGTAATATACAGAGTGCAGGGGTCAAGGTTGTGTAAAGTACAGAGTGTAGGGTTCAGGAATGTGTAATGTACAGAGTGCAGGGGTCAAATGTGTGTAACATAGAGTGCAGGGGTCAGAAGTGTGCAAAATGCAGAGTACAGGGTTCAGAAGTGTGTAAGGTATGGAATGCAGGAGTATATACACCCTAGTGAACAGCACCCCTATGATTCGAACCCCCTTTAGTTATAGCACAGTAGTACGCCCTGTGAGGCATATCGGCAACACAAGCCCACTCACATACACTTATATAAATACTCACTCACATACATACACATACTTACATAAATACTCACACCCAAACCTACATACATACACCCACACACACTTACCCATATACATTCACGCACTTACATACTGTACATACACACACAAACACTAACACACAAACACCAGCTTCACTCAGCTTTCTCTATTAAGCCCCTCTGCTGACATGACTGACTGACCCCCAGCCTCTTTAGCTCATTGTCCCTAATCCTGCAGGTGGGAATGCTTTACTTGTGTAAAGAACTTTGGCTGCCTAGAAGCAGCATGTCAGGCAGTCACAGCACAAGAAAAACACGGGTGGCAGTGGTGTTGGCAGCTGCGGCACAAGGAAAGTCATGCAGGCCATGTTCCCTAGCTGCACATTGCTAGCAATGCCCATGGCGGCTAGCAATGCCCATGGCGGTGGAGTAGTCACCTGTCACATGGCTGCAATCAGCAGGTAAATTAACATCAACCAGTTGCTGACCCCCGCTATACAGCATGACACATCAGTGAATGTGTACAGCTGTTTAATTTCCAATGCAAAGTTTATGCACTGCCCAGAAAAACCACATAGTAAGCTTAGGGTTGCCACCTGTCCAGGATTTACCCGGACAGTCTGGGTTTTGAATGCTGTGTCCGGGATTCATGGCAGCTGAAACACGGACACATGATGCCAGGCAGACAGGGGCAACCAAAATTAAAATAGGGGCTACTGGCCCCCCACTGAAAATGGTCTCTACTGTGATATTTACATATGAATAAGTCATGACTCATTCTCCCAAACATTTTTCTGTGAGTCGCTAGAGTGTTCGGGGGCGCTGAAAAAAAAGTGGCAACCCTAAGTAAGCAGTAGGAAGCAGAATGGTCATCTACCTTTGACTAACACATGCAATGGTAAAACTAACATTCCAGGATATGTATTCTGTGTATGCAACGTAAATGGCATGTTTATTATATCTAATAAGGGTTTTGTTTTACTTTTGTTATTCCTTGTACATACACAGGCACTAGAACTGGGAGTACGATCAATGCAGCTTGGAGAAATGGCTTTTCTGCTAACAAATGGCTTATATGCCTTTGGTCTTCTGGGAAGGTATCTACCGTATGGCAACATAGTAAATACATAAGTATAGCATTATTTACAGAGAAACTACATTAGCAAAACTAATATTTAAAGCACTTGAAGTCGTTGTAGATTTATTTTCATCCCTAGTCATTTATTTCCCAGGTCAGAAGGATCCTACCATAAAATATGCAAGTGCCAAGGCCCTGGGGCTACCCTGACATCAGATGTATTGTACACTAACTTCACAGGATGTTTACACACTATGGTCATGTCAAGAAAATCAGTCATTCACATTTTTCATGTAGTTCTAGTTTGCACATTTGCTGCATTATAATTCTTGTCCTACCAATACATCATGTTTATATCCTGCTTTCAGACAGGAACAGCTGGAACCCGAGAGGCTAATGTACACTTGTCCGCTCTATGTACCAGCAAACCTGACCCTTAGACTACAAATCAGGCACCTGCTTGAAGCGTTTGTACATACAGTATCTTTAAAAGTCTTCTCAAGCACTCCAGGAGCCCTGGAGGATACTCTAATATGCAAATTTTACTTTACTATTAGTGCCCCATAACACTTCCCATCTGACAAACAATAAAGCCCATCATAGTGAGGGGCCAAAAAGAATATGTGGGAAGCAGGAAGGAATAGGCCAGCTCTCAAGCTTGCCAGCTCTCGCACAAGCAGGTGCCTCAATTTTCATCCTATGGCCAGGTTTATGTAGTGTGCAGACCTGGCAGGTTTACTTTAACCACTCCTGCTTGAAGTAAACAGAACCTATGTATTACTTAATTAGAAGATGGAGATACTGTACAAGGAATGTATTCTCCCGTAAGGTCGACATCTAGTCACCTATGAAGGGGGAGACTGAGGACTCATGTGAAGGGTTTCTTTTGAGGTGATCAGGAGCTCCTAATGTGAAGGGAGGACTCTAGAGTGAAGGGGGGCAAATTATTTTCTTAGTTTTAAAAAAAGTCAGAAAGGGGAAGATCCTTTGTTAGATTTGTACTGCTGCTTGTGACCCCACTTGAGAGGTTTCCATCATTCCTCGTACAAATAACACCCATAAAGTTGCTGCAAGGTAACCTACCCCCTCTAGTGTGCATTCCCAATACACATATACAGTAAATCTATGGTGATACTGTCACAAGCCTCTAGTGCAGGAGTACTGAATTAAAATTCCAGGTGGTCCAGACATAACAGTCACTCAGTCCGTGACTGTACCGCAGTCCGCCATTCACTTACCTGATTGGCTGGATTTAAGAGATGCAGGAGGGTAGCTCTCTAGTGGTCTGAGGGGGCAGAGAGTTACTGGTTCAGTCTGGAGTTGCCACACAGCGAGCGAGCTTCTACCCTGCAGCTGCTCTGTGCCCTATAGAAAAATGTCAGATTTCAACAAGTTATTAGGCCAACTCAAAACTGCTGCTCAGTTGAAAGCTCCCAACTGCCTGCAAGAACAGGTTTCTACTATCCTGCAGGACGTCCAACATTCCACAGAGCATTGCGCATCATGGGCTAGGGGGTCCAGGCCTCCTGAGCGTTTTTCTCCACAGCACGGTGCGTCTGTTGGGGCTCAGGAGCCCCTCCAGGGACTCTTGAGGCCCACTGTCCAAGCGTCCACCTGTGCTGTCGGATGGTGCCCCTGGGAGGAGTCGTCATCACAGGCGGAGCCCCAGGGAGAGGGTGCGCATACAACTTACATCCAGCCCTCCCCTCCCTCCCTCCAACCCAGCGTACAGGACCAAGGGGCTGCCTCACCTGGCGATGCTCTGGTCGGTGAGGCAGCTCGGCGTGATGTAAGGGGACACTCTGATGGGAACAACCAATATAAGGGGGCACCCTGATGGAGACAACTAATGATTAGTTGTCCCCATCAAAGTGCTCCCTTACATTGGTTGTTCACTTTAGTGTGCCTCTGTATATTGTCCCCTTTATTATTAGTAGGCCAAAGGTGGCATCTGGGAGATGGAGCAGGCTGCAGTAGAAGATGGAAGAACATACTCTTCTAGACTTCTGTAATGCTGGGGACGGAGAATACATTTAACGACACTAGTTGCTTGGAGGCCAGTGTATGCACTGTCAGCCAGCCATAACCCAGTGCAGGTATGCAATTGCAGTCCAGACAGAACTGCCACTTGGTCCATGTACTTGACCCTGGTCTGCCATTTAAGGACACCTGCTCTAGTGGATATATGGATCATGTAGAGAGCTAGGAGGAAATTCAAGTTAGAGCAATATCCTGGGGTCACAATCACAGGATGTGAGAGGACGTTTTTCCAGTGGGAACAGAGCCTCGGTTGTACACCCTGGTGCCCTGTGAAACATTGTGTTTCCACATTCTAAAAAGAAATGTCAGCTGACCATAATTTAAAACAATTAACTACAAAAATATGTTCTAAACTAGGATAATACATTTTCTCTTTCTCTCACTCTCTTTCAATCCAAAGCCACCACTAAATGACAGTAAGAATAATAGCTCTGAATAGTTATTTGTGATTCTTTGAAAAAATGCAATCTCTAAAATGTTTTGTTCAAGATGTTTCTTAATATATCACCCATTAGCAATACACTGCAGATGCTGACATTGCCAAGCCTATTGAGATGACAACACTTAACAGCAGCTGCGCAATCAGAAATATAACTGATTTTATCCGTGTCAGATGTTTTATTTGGACCATTTTTCAGATATATCATATGCTACTCTGCAAGAACAATATTGTCATAAGAGATGGCAGTAAAGTTATAAATATATTCAGCTTGCATGCAGCTGCTTCATTCTTAAAACATTTAATTAGTGTAACATATGGTGCGGTGACTTGTGCAGGGATGGTACAGCACAGAATGTTGTAAAAATTCTGCATCGCATTGGCTGGGTTAGTCAATTCTAGTATAGCACTGAAGAAAGTCAACACAGGCAATATCAAAGAATAAGCTCAGGCAAGCATGATTTTCGGTTGATAGTGTGCCACATACCCAGATGGAGATTGAGATGGCAATGGTCTAAAACATCTAGCCCATGCACCCCTGGAAAACCTGGAAGTTAAGATTTCAGGAATCAGTGAAGAAGGCCCCGCAGTGAGCAGATACATGGTGGACAGAATTTGTAAACAGAAAAATTGCTTAAAAAAGGCTGCAGTCAGAAACAAGCAGACAGTATGGTACCAAGTTGAGGGGCACTTGTAGTATCAGAAAACAAGTCATAGTCAGTAACAGACAGGATAAGGTCAAAGGCATCAAGAAGAGGCAGAGGGCATTTAGGACCAAGGTCAAGAACAAAGAGTTAGGTAATAAAAACATCATAGTTAGGAGTTTGGGTGAGCATAATGTGTGACTGATGAAGATAGATCAACATTGGTTTCACAAGGTAGAGACTTACAACTCCATTTAGGGTTTCATTGATGTGCATATCAGCTTATTGTACCTTTAGTACACAATGGAGACCATTTTCTATGGTCTAAATAATCTAGGATGTTTGTAGACTCTCTCTCTTGGATCCTTAGGCTATTGATATGCAGGGGGGGTACTTGAACCATTGGCAATTAATCAAAGCTGATCGTTTAAGCCTTTAACATGGTAACATTGTGGTTGATCTCTGGACACACTAGAAGGAATTTTAAAAGCCTACACATGATCCATCCCATGCAAATTGGTACAATATGTTTGTGAATCCAAAGAGGCCATAATTTTACTGTATGTTTGGTAGTATGCAATGATAACAATTTGCTACTGAAACAGATATGAGCCGGAGTGGATTGGTGAATATACTAAACCTAACAATAGAAATGTTACCATATAAACTTTCAGCGTATGCCCCTTCAAAATGCAATATTAAAATCAACTAAATTACACTTGATTATTGTTATTTTAAGAAAAGTAATATTCAATAAAAATACACATGCACTGAATTGACTTTTTCTGCTTCTGATTGGATTGCAGGGATCCAGACATCCCATCGGATGCCTCTCTAATATACAACGTGACTTTAATCAAAGTCAGGGACAAGCCCAGTCTAGGCGTTCTTACCACTTCTGACCGCATTAGCCTTGCAAACCAGAAACGGGAATGTGGAAATTTCCATTTTGAGCGTGAAGAATATCGAAGTGCCATGCACTCTTATAGCCAAGCACTAAGCATCCTCATTCTACCCACTGCAGGTAACTGTTACTGTATATTACTAGATTCTAGATACTACTGCCAACGGTTTACCCTTTTCTTCAGTCATTGTTGGATGAATGGATAACATTTAAAAAGCCAGAAAATACAGATAGTGAACTGTTTTATCAAATACATTCTGTCATAAGTAAATCCAAGTAAATACATTATTTAAGCCTTTAAATATTCGACATTTTAGAAATTCTTCATCTGAGCTTCCAAAATATTCTCTTTCCCTTAAAGTGACATTAAACCCTCAGATTTTTTTACATAAAACAATACTGTAATGTGTGCCTTACATTGTTGTTTCCCTTCTCTTTGCTGCTTTTCCTTTTAAATCCTCATGTCTTCTCATGCTTGGGGAGAACTTCCCTTTTCAGCTCAGGGCCTCCTCCTGTAGTGCTGGCTCAGGTTTCAAGCCTATACAAACGTATACACAGACACCATGTATCCATTCCTGAGACAAGGCAGTCTTCTGCAAAACAGAAGTTCTGCCCAATCATGAGAACAGATACAAATTTAAAAGGAAGAGCAGCAAAGAGAAGGGAAACAACCATTGATTACAGTAAGGCACATTTACTAATGCCCTCCTGTGACCCAAAACTCAGCATATAGCAGACTATTGCTCTCTATATGCTGACCGCTTAGAGCAGTGCTGCAGCCAGGAAAGATCCCAACAATATTGTCCAGATCCACCCGGTGTCTCAAGTTTAGTCAGTCAGCGCTGGAGGAACGAAGAGAGGGTGAGGCGGGAATCCCTATGGGGAGTGGTGACTGACAGTCACCGCTCTCTACAGGGAGAAGATCATGAACTGAGTGATCAATGGTATGTGATCGCTCAGTTCTCAATCAATAGAAAGTATGGGGATGAGTGTATTTCACTCTCCCCCTTATTATTATTATACAGGATTTATATAGCACCAACACTTTGCGCTTTACAAAATGGGGGAGACAGTACAGTTACAATACAATTTCAGTACAATAGGGTTAGGATGGCCCTGCTCATGAGAGTTTATAATCTAATAGAACCATGTCTCAACAAGCAAATGGAGACCATTACATGAGGCTGCCCATACCCCACTCCCAGAGGTTGAAAGGTTGGATCCCCATAATTCTCATTTAAAAGTAAAAAAAATCTCAAAGACAATTTATATTGCAAATGTTCCTATTTAATATATGACATGACACACATTGGTTCCCGAACTGGGAACCACTTAAAAACTATTCCTATCCCTATAGCAAAGACATTTTTCGTACATGAGTCCTTATCTGAGGTAGCAGCATAGAAATGTAAAAACAAGCAGTGTTGAAGAACTTACTGTACCTTTTATCGTCTCAGGATTAATCAACTTAAATCAAACATCATATTATGTATATGACAGGGATGTCATTTGAAGGATGGGGAGCAGTCACTCTCATCTGAGGTTGGATGAGGATTGAGTTACAATATTTTTCAACCACTGGAAGTGGGGTATGGGCAGCCTTATCTAATGGTCTCCATTTGCTTGTTGAGACTCCCAAGATCCCCATGATTGCTGCTGTTAGGGTGGACATGTAAAAACCTTCTTATGGAAGCTATGAGGTAGTTCAGTAATGGCACCATAATGGCATAATTGTACTAACGTCTTGATGAAGTATTTGCCCTACATGGTCCAACAGACCGAAACACCCTACAAAATTGACAGTTTTCTAAAACAGCTCTAATTGCTTCCTCCATTACATACATATTTATAAACTGTAACTAGTACCCAATGAACGGTATAAAGCACCATAGCACATAAAGCAGCTCAATCCCATTTTAGACAAAACAATTGAAATTACCGTAACTTGTCTAAGCCCAACGCCACAGTTTTTATGTTGTCTAAAATATGAGGGAGAACGTGTATAGTATGTATAGACAAATTGGTCTAATACTTACATACATCTGCAAGTCACCAAACTGCCAGTTTGACTCAAAGCATAAGTAAATATGGACTAGTTTAGTGTAAGTCATTGTGTGTATAATCTTCAAATATTAGTTAAAAAGGACAAGGAAAACGAATCACCTGAGCTGCACAAAGTAAATGATGCACAACGTTCCTTTAAATAAACAGTGTTTGCCTGGAAACTGCCCGAGGTCAAACATTGTGTTTGCGTCACAGGGTTTCAGGACGGCTGGCCACATAGTCATAAATGCATTAGAGAAGATTATCGGAGCACAAAATGTGCATCACAAATAGGAAACATAATCATGACGTTAATAAGACCTTTGTATCTTCACATTTACTGTTATCACAATTAGAGTCTTCTATAGGTGTCTTTTAATCACAGATAACCAGGCGATATGCAGTACTTTGCAAGCTGGTATTCCAAAATGGAACATTATGTCTGGATATGTTGTCATGGTACCATGCAGCGGGATGTTCATACACTCATCTCCTGGATAATGACTCACCATTATCTGTATTACTCAGAACCCCTGAGCTCAGAGGAAGACGAGGAGATTCGTGAACATAGAATCAAGTGTCTGAATAACCTGGCAGCTGCCCAACTCAAGCTTCATCACTATGATGACGTCATTAATTCCTGCAATGCAGTCCTAGAGATGGATACCGACAATGCAAAGGCACTTTATAGGAAAGGCAAGGTAATGTCACCTTACCCTTTTCCACATGACTAAGAAACAGAACGCCGTGATTTGCTTTCTGCTTTTATTGGTCAATTACAGTGTAATAGAAATACTGTATTCTGTCTGATCGTTACTGCCCAAACTAATGACAAACGCCACCATTAAATAGAGGACCCATGGGTGACTTTGACTTTTGTCCATGTGTGGACAGCTACCGAACAATGAGTCCTGTGACAAATGTCAGTTGAGTGTTTAGCATAGAAGAATGGAAAAGAAACAAAAATTATTTATTAATCTGGAAAACCTCAACCACCAGCCTTGTTCCCATAATGCAGGGGTAGGCAAATTCTGGCCCTCCAGCTGTGCTGCAACTATTAATCTCATTAGGCATTGCAAAACTCTGACAGCCACAGGCATGACTCCCAGAGGCAGATGCATAATGGGATTTGTAGCTTCACCACAGCAGGGGGGCCAGAGTTTGCTTACCCCTGCCATAAAGAGTCTGTCAGTGCCTCATACCATGCTTTTTGTATAGTAGTGCTCAAATCAGATGCAAACTCAAGCATTGTATTGTCACTGCCACAAATTCATTCTACCCAACCTGCCTTTAATAGTCCCTGGATAGGAATCTTATTAGTAAATCCAAGTCAAGTCAATCTGCATACCTTGTATAGAACTATGGACTGATCTGGTTGGGAAAATAGGGGGTTGAACTTCCTGAGTTAGTGAGTTGAAATCCTGAGCAAGTATGGCAATCAGCATTCCACCACTTGCCAATTAGACATGTGCGCCAGCAAAAAATTTGTTTTGTTCTGTTTTCATTCAGATTTTTCATTATTTCATTTTTCGAGATTCGGGTCCGAAGTTCAATTCGTTTTGGGATTCGGACGAAATCCAAATTATTGTTAATTTCGTTAGCAGTAGTATGTACAAATTTTCATTACAAACAAATTTACGTTATAACAAAGTGACATTAGACAAAAGGAAAAAACTTTTTTTTTTTTTTACAGTCCGCAGAAGAAAATAAAAGCATGAGGTTCCCCCTCAATTGATACCAGACCCTTTAGGTCTGGTAGGAGTGTTAGGAGGGACCCCCCAAGTTAAAAATAAAGTGCGTGGAGTTCCCCCCACAAGTCATACCAGGCCCTTTAGGTTTGGTAGGTATTTTAAGGGGGAACGCCACCCCTAAAAAATGGGGGTGGGGTGGGGCTCAGATGCCGCCCCCCCCTTTTGAATGAGTAAGGGATACTTGTACCCCTACTCATTCACTAAAGGGTTAAAAGTTAATGTCAATAAACTGAAAAGAAGGAATCACCAGCACTCGGTAAATGATGTTTAAATAATAAACGTCCATTTATTTGGACAGGTCGTCACAAACGAAAATACCAACGTTTCGGGGCCGCACAGGGTCCCTTCATCAGGGTGACAATGCGACCATTGTCCCACTCTAACACACACAATGTGGTCACACTGTGCGGCCCCGAAACGTTGGTATTTTCGTTTGTGACAACCTGTCCAAATGAATGGACGTTTATTGTTTGAACATCATTTACCGAGTGCTGGTGATTCCTGCTTTTCACTGTTACTGTGCACGTTGCCATCCGTGCGTATCACTGCGAGCACCACCATTGCTATTTGGCCGAATGTGCTGTGAGGAGTGCGGAGGGACTTACCATTTTCAATGTAAATAAACACACCACAGATTTTGGAAAAGTCCTTTAACTGAAAAAAAGAAAGAGTCAGTTTTTGACAATTCCTTTTTTTAAAAAAAGAAAAAAATGGATCCATCGATGTAATCCATTGTCAATCACATTGAACGATGCCCACCGACTCGCCATAATAAAAAAAGTCCCACCGCACGCCGACCAGCACGAATCTGTGAAGACTCGCCGTAAAATGACAGCTTCGGCCCAAATGTAACCAAATGGGCGGAGTGAGCCGTGACTTCACAGGGCTTGTTCCGCCCATTTGATTACAATTCTAAACTGTCATTCATATAACAAAGACAAAGTCTCAAATTATGAGGGTTATTCACAAAGCTGCCAAAGGGAGCCGTGTGAATAACCGACCCGAAGTGAGCCGAACGCTGCTTGGCTATTCACTTCAGGCTTGTACGGCTGATTTCAGCTGTACACCGACTGAAATCAGCCGTGCATCGGCTTGCTTCAGCTGGCTTTGAGTCGGCCAAACATGCTCAGCATGTTCGGCCGACCCGAAGTGCAGAAGGAGTTCGACTCAGCCGATCCAACAACTGGAACGGGTGAGCCGAACCACCGGCAGGCTACTCGCTGCTGTTCGGCCTATTTTCATAGTGGCCGAACAGCCGTGAGTGAATAGCCGAATGCCGCCGAGTGGCATTCAGCTCGGCGATTCCGCTCGGTACCTCTGTTGTACCGAGCAGAATAGAAAACCAGTTAATAAAGTAGACAAAAAAATAGAAAACGATTGGGCGGAGCTAGCAGTGACAGCTAGCTCCGCCCAACTGTTTTCTATTGGCCGGGACGAGCTGTCATTACATTGAGAACTTAGCGGAGCCGGCGGTGATGTCAAAGCCGGCTCTGCTAAGTTCTCATTACCTAGTAACCAGGGGACGCTGATCTGTCATTGCAAGTGGCCGGAGCCAGCCGTGAGATGACGGCTGGCTCTGCCCAGCTGTCAGTAGCAGGCTTTCAACCGGCCAATGGCCGGCCGTTCGGCCAGCTTCGGATTTCACCTCGCCTCAGCCGAGGCGAAGCATATGCCTTCGGCTCGACCGAGCAGCTTGGCCAACTTCGGGAGCTGTACGGGCTATAGTGAATAGCCTGTACAGTAGAACCGAAGGGCTCCCGTAACCGAAGCTAGCCGAAGGATCAGCCGAAGCTACGGCTGGTCCTTCGGCAGCTTTGTGAATAACCCTTTATGTATCCGAATGTACGAATTTCCAAAAATTCGTCCGAACAACAAATCTTTCCGAAACAAATCGCACATGTTTATTGCCAATCATGTTCCCTGCTGAATCAGAGCTAGATCTCTCCCATCGGAGGGGAACATGAGCTTTGCTGATTTCAGAGCTATGGGTGGGACTTCCGCAGACAGATCACTACATCAATACAAAGAGCAAGGGTTCTTCTCTACTGCTTGTTGCAGGGGGCAGGCTTTTCTGCTCAGTCTGTGGCAGCTTACATAAGAAAGCAAACTGTAAAACTTTACTCACTTTTTGTTTTAATGCACCTGGAATGTATATAACTGGTTTCAACTACAGCTGGCCATACACTTACAGATTTATTTTGTTAAGCCTGTGAAATGAATGAAAGAAATCTAACAGATTCCTCCATCCACACTAAACATCATGGATAAGTGGATCTCCCTTGTGGGGCTATTGTATTCTGACAGCTGACCCCTGTCACTGTCATAATACAAGAACAGTGACTATAGCTGACTGATTGCAGTCACTGTTTGCCCAACAATTTTCCACCTACTTTGTTCACCAAAAGTCTTTTGAATAATCGACTTTTGTAAAGCAGAGAGGTGCCATCAGGGCCACACACAGATGGAATTTCAGTCAAGACAGTAAAACCCATCCGAAATCCAGGACTCACAGGTGGAGTCAGCAGGACTTTGAGCATGGCCAGTTTTAAATTTCAACTAGGCTACTCAGTAAAGCTGGCCATACACCTATAGATTATCTGCAGACTTTCTATGGTCAGATGGAAAAAGTGCAACAGATTCCTCCATCTACGCTAAACTGTGTGGATGGAGCAAGCTCTCGCTGGCCCAAGACTAATTTTCTTGCTAGTCGGCCCCGCTGGCTGTCAAAATACCTGAACAATCTGATTGGATGCAGGCACTGTTCAGGTGTTTTGAGAGCCAGCAGGGCCGACTAGCAGCTTAGCGTAGATGGAGGAATCTGTTGCACTTTTTCCATCTGACCATAGAAAATCTGCAGATAATTTATAGGTGTATGGCCAGCTTACGGCTATTGCAAATGTAAAGCAAATAGGAACAGTGGCAAGAAAGACGATTGTGTGTAACGTGTTTGCCCATAACTTGGTTTCTTTGTTAGTTGTCATTGTCTTTGAATCCCTTGCAGGTGCTATCGGAGAGAGGACACTATGAAGAAGCCATGTCTGTTCTTAAAAGAGCACTTAAATTGGAGCCAACAACTAAGGTAAGATACACTTTGAAGGATGGTCCTTTGCACTTGGTACCAACTGAAGTATTAGGTAGACATTTGCGATTCCTTTCATTCGAAAGTGAAATTAGGACGAATTTCCCAATGAAAATATTACGTGTCCTAATATTTTGGATGCATCCAAATTTTTTCTGCATGTCATTCTGAATGAATTCATTTTGTTAAATAAGTTAAAAAAAAGCATGGGGTCCCCTAAAATCCCTTACCAGATCCTTGGGGTCAGTTCACACCATATGCAGTTGTGATGCAGTCCGTTTATTTTGACTGCTGCAGTCAAAATACATCCCAATGCTTTCCTATGGGCTTACTTATGCTTAATTCACACCATTGCAGTCCGTTCAGGTGCAGTCAGAAAAAGTACTGCTTGTCCAATTTTACCTGCATCAAACCGCATAAAAACGCAGTGCAAATGCATAGCAAACGCACCGGAACGCATACAAAAAGAAAAAGACCCAGAATTGATTATGTCATCACCTAGGGCAGGGGAAGGCAACCTTTGCTCTCCAGCTGTGCTGAAACTACAAATCCCATAAGGCATTGCAAGCCACAGGCATGACTCCCAGAGGCAGAAGCATGATGGGATTTGTAGTTTCAGCACAGCTGGAGAGCCAAGGTTGCCTACCCCTGACCTAGGGACTTCCTCTTTGTAGTGTAGAGAGAAAGTGAAGAGATGGAATTTGTGGATGCTGATGATTTCATCCAATATGTGCGGGACTGTCCCCTGCTGTACGACAGCAAACATCCCCAATATAAGAATAATCGCCAGAAGATGGCAAAGTGGAGGGAGATTGCTGAAAAGTCGCACCCAGATTTTGGGGCTATGAACCGGAGAATGGCTATAGTCAACACTAGCACCATGCCAGCCAACAAAGAAAGCATGTCTGATCTCCAAAACAAACGTAGGAAATGCTCTGATAGGAAGAGGAAGTAACCTAGAAAATTAGCATTTTCTAGTGCAGAAAAAAAATGCATCAGAAACGCATTAAAATGAGCATGCAAGCCCCCCTCCCGCACCATACCAGACCACATGCCCTCAACATGGGGAGGTTGCTTTGCCAGGGGGGACCTGGCAAACCACCTTGTCCCACGTCGGACAAAGTCCTCTGACCCACAACCCCCCCCACCCCTTGTGAAGAAGGGGTAGCTATTACCCCTACTCATTCACCAAATATAGTAACATTGTAAATGAACACACCACACCGTAAAAAAAAAAAAGTGTTTTATCTGAGAAAAAAAAACGTCCTTGAATTAAAAAAAAAAGTCCATTGATGCAATCCAAACATAACTCACGTTGTCCTTTGTTGACAATCGGGAGCAAAACTGTCATAATAACAACTCTGCTCCCTAATGTCAACAAAAGGGCGGAACAAGTCCCATGATGTCACGACTCACTCCGCCCCTTTGTTGATATTTGGGTCAGAGCTGTCATTGTGTGGCAAGAGTTCTTCGGGATCGGTCATATCGGCGGGCGTTGGGTATTTTTTCTTTCGGCGAGTTGGCGGATGTGGTCCACCGTGATTGATGTGGATCTACATCGATGGATGATGGGATTAATCTGTGGATTACATCGATGGACATTTTTGGGGGGTTTATTTTTGTTTGACTTGTCAAAAACCTATCTTGTGGTTTTTTTTTCAAATAATTTTTTTTTTTACGGTGTTGTGTGTTTATTTAAAATTTTTTAAAAACGACCCCTTAGGCCTTGTTCACACCAAATGCAGAGCAGATCCGGTCAGGTTTCTGCACACGCAGTGCAGTGGGTTGTGCCGCGTTTTTTACGTGTTTTTGATGCGTTCCAGGCCGGTCTTGGTAAAAAAAAAAAAATAATTTTTAAAGTTTAACATGGGCTTTCAGGCACTTGCATGCGTTTTTGATGCGTTTTTGATGCTTTCCAGAGCAGATCCAGAGCAGGTAAAATAGGGGTTGCCGCAGTTTTTTCACCTGCTCTGGATCTGGTGTGGATCTGCACGCTGCGATGTGAACTGGAGGTCAAAATACCATAGGAATACATTGGACGCAGTTTTGATCCGGTCTGCACCTGCTCTGGTCTGGATCTGCTCCGCGCTTGGTGTGAACAAGGCCTTACTCATTTACAAGGGGAAGGGGCGGCATCTGGGTGCTCCCTTTATGAAATATTAAGAGATTCAAATAAGCACCCCTGCCCGCAGACCCCCACAACCACCGGGACAGGGTTGGGAGGAAGAGCTCTTGTCCTAATCCAGGGGGTCCCCCACAGCAAAGCACCATCCACATGTTGAGGTCATGTGGCCTGGTATGGTGCAGGAGGGGGAGAACTGTCAAAAGTTAAAAAGAAAAATATAACTTTTTTTTTCTAATGTTACTTTGCTGCAATGAAAATGCGTTCGAAAATATCATTTATCTCATCCAAAATTAACGAAAATTTCAGATTTGTCTGAATCCCGAAACGAATTGACTTTCGGACCCAAATACCAAAGAACGAAACAAACAGTAACTAATTTTTTTGCCGACTTACATGTCTAGTATTAGGAACATTACTATATCCATAAAAACCTACATTTAGCTCAGTGTGAAATGACACCTGTATGCACACAGGAAAAGGGTCAGTGCATCAGTGTATCTTTACACGAGCAGACTTATATTTTTCTCCTCATTTACATGCAGGCCAAGCTGCCCAGCAGTAGCGACTAGGGGTTGTGACAAACCCTATACCATTGCGGGGGGTGCTTTTATCTGACAGCTTTTATTTATTTAGATCAAACCTTTTTTGCAAACGAAAAAAAAAAAAAGTTGCTGAAACAGTTTAAAAAGCGTTAGCTGGTGTTAGGCTTTAACCACTTGCTGACCTGGGTTTTTAAACCCCCTTCCTGTCCAGGCCATTTTTCAGTATTCAGCGCTGTGGTACTTTGACTGACATTTATTCCGTCATGCAGCGCTGTACTGAAATGAATTTTATACCCTTTTTTGGGGACAGATAGAGCTTTCTTTTGGTGGTATTTATTCACCACTGGGGGTTTTATTTTTTACTATATAATGAAAAAAGTACCAAACATTTGGGGAAAAAAACAGTTTTCCCTACGTTATGTTATAAAACAATTATTATTACCCACATTTTTTGGCAAAATATAAAAGACGGGGTCATGTCGGGTAAATAGACAGCAAGCATGTTAAGCTTTAAAATTGCGTGCGTCCGCGAACTCGCAAAAACTACCGTACCCAAAATTGGCCATAGGCGACGCTTTAAAAGCTGTTACCGCTCATCAGTTTAGTGTTATCAG